ACTCAGCAAGACCCTGTCTCTAAATATAAAAAAGATCTGGGGATGTAGCTCAGTGCTAAAGCACCTCTGAATTCAATCCTTGATACCAGAAAAAAAAAAAAAAAAAAGAAATCTCCAGGGCTGGTTCAGTGTTAGAGCACATAACACATGCTTAGCATTCGGAAGGCCCCCAAAAATAAAAATTAAAAGAATCACCAGTCCATAATGACCAACTAAATAAAATTAGGATGAGAGAGCAATGAGTTGAACCATTCATGTGAGTTTTGATACTATTAACCAAAATGGAGAAGGAAAAGGAGAGAAGAGAGAGTGCTTCCTACATTAACTGAAACATTTATCTAATTACCAATAATAATTCTTGACTTACAATAGTGTTACACTCCAATAAACATGAGCTGAAAATATCTACCAAGCATCATAGTTTAGCAACACAATGCACAGTAGAGTATAGGTTGTGACTGACTGGGAGCTGCAGCTCACTATTGCTGCCCAGCATCGGAATATAGTTGTACTGCATACACAGAGGCCGTGAAAATATCTAAGTATGGTTTCAACTGAACACATATTGTTTCACACCATAATAGAGTTGAAGAATCATAAGTCAAACCATCATAAGTCAAGGAACATCTGTTTATGTTATAGACAGACAAAAGGAGAGTTAGAAGACAAGGAAGAATTGTCAATCGTTAAGCAATCCTAGAAGATATGAATATGTAATGATACAGAGGGCAAACAACAGAGACTTATGTGAGAAACAGTTGAAAGTCTTCAAGAAAAAAGGGAGAGTAATTAGAGAAGCGGAAAAACTAGGATAATGTCACAGAAACCAGGGAAGAACATAAAGAATAAAATACCACCATTTCTGAAACAAAAAAACATAAAACATAATGCTTTTAAGGATCCAATGAAAGGCAGGGAAGATGGTACATTCGTGGCCTATAATCCCTGTGACTAGGGCCAATGAGGCAGGAGAATGTGTTCAAGGCCATCCTGGGCAACACAGAAAACCCCAACTCAAACAAATAAAAAAGACCAAAGAAATGAATAAGGATGCTCATTACATTATACCCAAAATTCTAATTTGCCAGTTGGCAGAACTGGTAAAAACAGATATTCTAGTTTAACTTTAAAAACCAAACAAAAAAGCACATTTATCAAAGCATGTATTAGTAGACAAAAGAAAAACCCATAGGTCTTTTGAGTAATGTAAGAGTATTTTTTAGCTTTTATTTTTCCAGAGTTTGTCATTCTTGAGAAATTTTCTAATGAGTTACACATAAAAGATAACAGATTTGCTGGGCACGGTGGCACACACTTGTAATCCCAATAGCTTGGGTGGCTGAGACAGGAGAATCATAAGTTCAAAGCAAGCCTCAGCAATGTTGAGGCGCTAAGCAACTCAATGAGATCCTGTCTCTAAATACAAAATAGGGCTGGGGATGTGGCTCATGGTTGAGT